CGACATCAATATAATATTAGAAGAATGCCCCCAAAATTATGAAGTTTGTTGCGACTGCAATCTCCGAACACCCATGAAAGTGTGTAAGAATGGTAAAAATAAGGAAAGGTGTTATTGGGGGTGTGCAAAATTCCCAAATAAAGAATGTATTTTTTCAAATAGGCCAATGAAAGAGGAGAAATAAGCAACCAATGAAACCAATGTGTCAAAAAAAATAGGTACAGAGATAAATATTTTTTGAAATCAAAGAGGATGAAGAAAGAATTAAGACTTGTCAAAAATCAACTATTAGCTTGGAAAATTTTAGCAATTTTATTAGTAATTTTTTGCATTATTTTAATTATTATAAACCACATGTTATGTACTTGTACTTGCAAAAACTACTGATATTGTAATGAAAACTGTTATTGGAATTGAGTACAAATTCTAGTTGATATTGTATGGCTCAGGAATAGATCAACTTGTCAAAATTGAATGCCCCACCTATAACTTACAGGTTTATTACATATTACATTCTAATGATGAATTACCTCGCCTAAACATTGTCAATTCAATGTAGGCTGTAATCTCATCACACTTTGCCTCATCTGAATATAATAAACATTATAAGTTAGATTGCATTATCAGTAAACGCTAATCATCATCATTGCCAAATATCAACTATGGAGCACATCATGCTCCGGCCACATGTCAACCGATAGCAACATAACCCTAATGTTTGAGATCAAAACCGACAGTAGAAACAACTAGCAAAAAATCCAAAGCCAAAGAGCTAAAGAAGCTCCACCTGACACCCAAAACCCCAAAGCCAAGGAGCTACACAAGCTCAAAAATCGACAGTAAAAAACCTATACGTAGGAGATACACAAGCTTCACAAACCTGATGGCAAAAAAACCCAAAGCCAAAGAGCTAAACAAGCTCCACATGGCAGCCAAAACCCCAAATCCAAGGAGCTACACAAGCTCAAAAACCGACAAATTAAACTCAAACATAGGAGCTACACAAGCTCCACAAACTTGATGGCAAAAAAACCCACAGCCAAAGAGCTAAACAAGCTCCACCTGACAACTAAAACCCTAAAGCCAAGGAGCTACATAAGCTCAAAAAACGACAAATTAAACCCAAACGTAGGAGCAAAAGAACCCACAGCCAAAGAGCTAAACAAGCTCCACCTGATAGCTAAAACCCCAAAGCCAAGAAGCTACACAAGCTCAAAAACCGACAGCAAAAAACCTATACGTAGGAGCTACACAAGCTCCACAAACTTGATGGCAAAAAAATCCAAAGCCAAAGAGCTAAACAAGCTCCACCTGACAGCCAAATGTAGGAGCAGCACAAGCTCAAAATCTAAGCATAATAAACCCAAAGCAAAGAAGCAACACTAGCTCCACCTGACAACCAAAAACCCACATCAAAGGAGCAACAAATTAGCTTCACCTATCATCAAAAACAAAGGAGCAACATTAAGTACTCAATGGTCATGCCTATACATACTTACCTGCATCAAAAGTTAAAAAGTACAAATTCATTAATTACATGACATCATAGCGTTTTCATAATAAGAAGTATTGCAACATTAATAGTTTGTAAATAATAAAATGATATATGTGTAACAACATATACGCGTGCACAACAAAATGCTCCATCAAAATGTAATCCAAACCCAACAAATTAGTTAACAAACCAACCTTGGTCGTTAATCAGGTTGGTAATGTATCTCTGCTGACGTTCCTTGGATTTTATGAAAAACCTTCTAGCTTCACATTCATTGTCATATAAATGATCTAAAATCCTATCCAGAAATTCCTCAGAATGTTCATTCCTATGTTCCTTCAATGCTGCAGCCAACTGTTCAGTCCAATGAACAATGTGTTGATTTCTCATTGACTGAGACATTGAGTCAACAAAGGCACATAACATTTCCTCTTTACGATTTGATTTTTTAAGTTTCTTGTTAGAGGATGAATTCATGTTGTCTTTACTCTTAGACTTATATCTAGTGGGTTATTTTTGGTTACAAGCATCAGATTGTGGTGCAGTTTCACTCTCCGCTGGAATCTCACTATCATCATCAGGAATAGGTATGGACCTACTAGACCCAATGTTAAATGAACAATGTGTTGATTTCTCATTGACTGAGACATTGAGTCAACAAAGGCACATAACATTTCCTCTTTACGATTTGATTTTTTAAGTTTCTTGTTAGAGGATGAATTCATGTTGTCTTTACTCTTAGACTTATATCTAGTAGGTTGTTTTTTGTTACAAGCATCAGATTGTGGTGTAGTTTCACTCTCCTCTGGAATCTCACTATCATCATCAGGAATAGGTATGGACCTACTAGACCCAATGTTAGCATACACAGGCCTAACAAATTCACCCTTAGCTTGGTCATCACCCATGATCACCTGTAAATTTTTAAAGTGAGGGAGGGGTTTGTTTATGTATGCTTTGAACTTAGATTTGGGTTTGTCATGCAATAACAAATAATCATAAATAACAAAATGTATTAATTACTAATGACAATGTAGATGCTGAATGTTATACCTGAGATCACGATTTTAACGTTTTGTCATCTAGTGTAATCATATTATTTGCTTCATCCCACACAACTCCACTTATATCAAGGCAAGCCTTCATGTCATTGAATTTATTTCTCAAGCATTTCAAGTGGTTAATGGCATGTATATAAGTGAAATCAATCCTGAATTGCATGTTGATTTTCATCGTTGCCATTTTATAAGCTTCTTCCTTGAAGTTCTTGTCTGGCTTTAGCTCATCTAATGCTAATTCGCAATATAAGGAATGAGCACATCATCGTGCTCTGGAAGCCAAAACTTATTAGCCACACCTCTTGAGTTCAACCTTGTCCCCAAGACTGTTTTCTTATAAGCTAATTTTTTTCCTTTTTTCATTGGTGAAGTGTGCTCCTCACCATCAATGTCGTGAATAACCTTCCCAACTGAATCACTAGTGTTTGGTGAAAATTGATTAGGTCCACTACTTTGAGAACTAGTTGTGGGAAATAACAAACCTTGTGGACTGCTTAACATGCTCACGTATGACATTGGCTGCTATGTCATTCCACCATAATTGACATTGTATAGTGAGAATGGTGAGAATGCATGACGGGGTGAAGTGAAAGGTTATAGTTGAACATGCGTGAAGTTCATGTTAATGTTAGTAATTGGATTTGGTGGAGCATTAGAATGAGAAGGCACAATTTGCTTATCTGCCTGATTGTTAGCCATACCTAATATATATTGCACAAGTAGACATTATTATTAAAGAAATCTAAATCAATATATAATATGCATGCATTTAGCAAACAAGTTAGAAAAGGAATATATGAAATGCCTACATCTACATATCCACAAATCTATATCAACCTATATAATTAAATAAAACAAATCTATATCAACTCACATATAATTAAATAACTAATAAGAATATTGAAATCGTAAACCATATATCTACATATCCACAAATCTATATCAAGCAGTGAAACAACTATTTCATATTTTGCACCCTAAGCATGCATGCTGATCAAACAAATATAATTAAGGTTTTCATTCCATGGTTTAACCGTTTGAAGGACCGCAATAACAAAACATCCAGAGAACCGAAAATTAATAATCAACTATGTACCAAAACCCTTGTTTCATGAGAGATTAGACATGTAATAAATTTTCAAAACCAGTGCTTTCTACTACCAATGTTAATTTCCTCAGAGCAAGCACAATGAAATTGTAATAAATTTTCAAAACCAGTGCTTTCTACTACCAATGTTAATTTCCTCAGAGCAAGCACAATGAAATGATCACATTAAAAGGGCGAAAATGTTTTATACCTACAGTTGCCAAGGGAATAATTCAGAAATTGATGTCGTTGCCAACAAACCCCACCGGACGGAACAGACCCACAAAACCCACCAAAGCTAACAAAGCGTCGAGCCTCGTCTTCAAAAAAGAAATCGAAGAGATGAGGCGGGATAAAGGGTCGCGGGAGAACCCGAAGCCAATATCTAGGGTGAAGAAGATTGAGAAGAGGTGGCGAAGCCAAATCCACCAACCGAACCCACCAACATCATGAATCGAAGAACAGCGGGAGAGGAGGCGCGAAGAAGCTTGGGGAGAGGCGGGAGAAGAATTAGGGGAGTTGTCGATTCTAGATCTAGGGCTCGTGCTCGTGAAGATATGGAATCTGAAAACGAAGAGAAAGGACCGCTGTCAGCTTTTTTGAGCAATTCCTCTCATGAACTTCTGATTTGGATTTCCATAAAACATCGCTACTGTTCCACCTTTATAAATTTTGGAATCCATAAATTTTTTTTGAGTCAAACTCAAGATTAGAATTGATAAAGAATCCAAATATTACGTTTTTACCACTGTCAGATCCAAATACCAATCCTTATCTATAAATTGGGTGAAACAAATAGCCCCCTAGTCGACGCCTTTGGCGCAATTATTGCAAACACGATGACAAGTAGGGTTGGATATCTGCACAAATAAATTTTCATCGTCTAAATGCGAAAAGGCTGTGTGGAGAGTCTCCAACGGGCAGTGCACTAACTAGCTCATTTTCATAGTAAACACAATTTATTCATGAAACCAGATCTAATTAGCCTGTAATTTCGACATTGCATGTATGTGCCTGAGCGATAACAAAAGCAAAAAAAATCTTCATTCATACACAAATTGGAAGGTTCACAAGTGCAATATGTCAAAATAACTACATCGAGCAAAAAAAAAATAGCTACAAATAAAGGCTCTAGTTAGTATGTAATTTCGACATGTATGTGCCTGAGCGATAACAAAAGCAAAAAAATCTTCATGCATACACAAATTGGAAGGTTTGCAAATGCAATATATCAAAATAACTACAGTGAGCAAAACAAAACAGAAAAAAATGCAATATGGCAAAGTAACTACAGCGAGCAAAATAAAAACAGCAAAAATAATAAAAACAGCTACCAAAAAATGGCTCTGCTAAGAGAAAATGCCGTCTGTCGGAATCGAACCCACGACCACAAGTTTCAAAAACATGGGCTCTACCGGCTGAGCTAAGACGGCCTGCTGTTACTTTTGTCACGTGAGTATTATTATCATTAATTACATTATTTTCACAACTTCTAACCCCAATCCTCTCCCATTCCCCTCCACTAGGGGTGTCCAAACGGGCCGGGCTGGGCCGGAAAAAACGGAGCCCGAACCCGGGCCCGGTTGGCCCTGGCTGGGCCGAGCCGGTTTTTTTTGTTTTTCAAAATTTTAAAAATTTTTTCCTTTAAATTTTCAACAAAAAATTACATAAAATTTTAATAAAAAACAATGATATTATTAATCACTTGAAATTACATAAATTACCTACAAAAAATTATTAAAATCAAAATAATAAAAATAATTTTTTTTATTAATAATCAATAAATCATTTATAATTATAAATTTATTTTGGAATTCGTCGCATCACAATAGATGAGTACATCCCAATTAGGTTGGCACCTACTCACCTATATCATTATCATTTGTAACTATTTTCAAAATAATTTTTTACAAAATTTTAGCTAATAATTAAAAATTAAAATTTGATGAATATTTTTTACTCTTTATATCTATCTGCTAGTCCTAACTCTTCAAATTTATCTTCAATACCAGTCATCTGATCGATGCCTTGCATTCTCTTCTCGTACATCCACCAATCTTGTAAGCACATCATCGCCTATATAATATACGGATCTAACGATGTCATGTGGTTGTCGATCAAACTTCCGGCTGTGCTCAAGACGGATTCCGAATCTACCGTGGAAACTTGCATTGTTAGTAAGTCACGAACCATGATGGAAAATATAGGATATAAAAGTGTTCTATATACTTTTCACCATTGCAAAATATCTAAATTATTATTTTGATATTTAACTAAAGACGCAGTTAAATATTGATCAATTTTAGAAATATCTAATGATGATCTAAGTGCAGATCCATCAGTTACCTCAGCTACAATTGCATACCTATCAAAACTTACACTTTTGCCCTGACTTGAGCTCGTAGAAGTAGAAACTGTAGACTGATGTGTAGCTATACTATATTTAGCTGCATACTCATCATATAATCTTTGAAAATAATTTCTAATAGTATTATGATAAGTAATAATAGTAATGGTTTGACCATCATCAGTGTGTATAATCATATTACCATACAAGAAATTTAACAAACTTCGAAGGCCAATATCCTTCAAACACAGATGAATAAGAACCCCCAAACTAAAAATAACAGGAATAAGCATAAAATATTTATTAAATTTACTTTCTATTTGAAAAATTATATTTCTAAAATAATCATCCATACGATATTTATTAATTTTCTTGAATATTTAAAATTTGTAAAACAGCTAAAGTAATGGTTGGATAATAATAGCCAGATAATAACATTGTAGCATCATAAAAAACTTATAACATCTCTTTTAAATTACTTATAACTGTCCATTCATCTTCAGTTATTCCATACATGCTACTAGAGCTAGAACTAGAAATATAAAAAGTAATAAAATCATTTATAATTTCTTTATATTCTATTGCTACACTTAACATTTCATAGGTATAATTCTACCTATGGTCAACATCTTTTGGAATTAGTTTTAGTTTTATATTTTTTTCTTTTACAGAATTATTTTCATCTTTTAATTCTTTGTTCAGAAGCATTATGAGAATAAGTTACTGACCTAACATTTTTTATCATAAGTTTAATTTCACCAAATGTACTTTTAACAATTAAATTTAAAATATGACAGATACATCTAATATGAAAAAGATCACCATAACATGGCAATGACAAAAATATTTTGATAAAATCAACAACTACATTATTATTACTTGCATTATCTAGTGAAAAAAAATTCTTTCTAATATTTCTAATTTTAAAAGTTATTCAATTATTCAATTTGCAACATTAATACCAGTATGTGACTCTTCAAATGCAATAAAAGAAATAACTCTTTTAAACATTTGCCAATTTTTATCAATCCAGTGTGCTATGATACATAAATAACTAGTTTGTGCTTTAGATATCCAAATATCAGAAGTTAAAGAAAATTTACAGTTTAAACTTTGAAAATAAGAAATTATTTTTTCTTGTTCCTCCTGATAATATTTTAAAATATCACTGTCACGCCTCGAAATCTGCAGCGAAAATTCATAAAATACGGGGTACGCGACAGCAACGACCCATGCACGAGACAAGTCTTATGCACGAGTCAAGCCTGGCAATTCATATCACATAGTTTATTTTCAAAATATTCATAAACCTACTGATGATAGAAATCAGAGCAACTATATATATATGATCGGTACTTACAGCCCACAAGCTCACCGTTATAAGCATTTTTACAAAACAAAACAAAATGTGTTGAAGGTAACATCAATAAGAAGAGGCTCTCCATATAACGCCTCTCAGCCAAAAGCTCAAACCAAAAGTTCAGCTACTATGAAGCTACGTCGGATCTGAAAAAATTTAAAAACAACGGAATGAGCTAGCGCTCAGTGAGAACATTTCCCACTAGAGTTCCTAGATAACTAACAAAATAGTAATAAGAATAGTTCTCAGAAATTAACAAATTTTAAGTTTTGCATGAGAAATTCACAGATAGCAGAATACGATCCAAATATCATAATATTGTCGTCTTTAAGAAAGAATGCAACAATTATATTTTCTTTCTTATATGCAACTGAATAAACTGTGAAATTTCTTAGAATCAAACCCTTTTTGAATCAAGGTAAACATTAAGAAGGAAAATAACTACTAATTTGTACAAAATCAGAGAATTAATGTTTTCTCAATTTCACAAACAATTATCATAATCTTATTTCTCGATGAGTTATTCATAAATGTAAAAGTCACCCCATAGGTCACACTAAGGCTACGAATTTTAGCCCAGTAGCAAGAGAATGCGTAAACCGTATCAGATAACAGATAATTCCCGGGAATCGAATGCACCTAACACTATCATAGGTTACTGGCCAAATACAGATAGGCCATAACAAATTTTAGAAGGGATAATACAGAAGAGCCAATACATAAGGGCCAAATAAAGGTGCATTCACCATATGGCAGACATAAACAATCCATAGTGGACTATTTGAGGGTTTAAAAACATCGAGATCACATGTCAAATGAGTAATACTTTGCATATCAGAATTTACAAACATTTTCAAATGAACTTGACAAGGTAAAGCTTCTCATTTCAGTTAAAATAGTTTATGGATATCTACTTTTCTTTTATCAGATACTAAGTCACATAAAATCTTTGAATCCGTTAAACTGTTGAAACACGTTCCAAATACTTTATCAAAATTTTCAGATAAAACAAAGTCCACAATTCTTTAAAAATTGCATGAGAGCGAAATTTATTTTTTTCATATTTTATATGGAAATCAAATTTGCTTTTCATATATTTTACGAGGCTAACATCATATTATAGGATAGACCACAACGGAAATAGGTCAAATCTTTATATACATGAAAAGACATATTATTTATTTATTTTTTTCATCACAAGATAATCAAATATAAAACTCATGTAATTTCATATTATAAAATACTAGTGAGAAATGAACTCACCTTTAGTGGTCACGACTTTCTCAAAATATTAGTCTCCCGAATATCAACCAGAACCTATAATGTAAGATATATGACTAATTATTAATTCAGAACAAACATATATTATAGATAAATCAATTCATAATCTAGAGTCTAATAAATTCAAATATAATCAATAATGATTAAATTTTACAGTACATATGAGCTTATTGTTAATTTTAGCAATTTATCAAAATTTATAACTCTCGTATACTAGCTTTTGGACTTCCTAATAATTTCTGATAAGATAGGGGTTATAGAGAATTTATCAAATCTAAAAGTTAACTTTTATTCTTCAGATTGGACTTGTTTACAAGTTGAATAAATAACAGGGACTTACCAAATATTTTCTAGCTATTTTCAACCATAACCCATTTTTCTAAGGTCTGTTAGAATTTTTTATATGATTCAGGGGCTTAAAGAAAATTTTTCCTCCCTTTATAAAAAAAATCCAACTGATCATCTTCCTCCTCCCCTTCTTCGTTTCTTCTTCTTCTCTTTTTTTTTCGGTTTCTTCTCTTCTCTCTCTCTCCCCCCCCCCTCTCCCCCTCTTTTTCTCTCTCTCTCTCTCCCCCCTCTCTCTCTCTCTCTCTCTCTCTCTCTCTCTCTCTCTCTCTCTCTCTCTCTCTCTCTCTCTCTCTCTCGCTCTCGCCATGGCTGCAGGACGGCGACGAGGAAACCGCCGGCGACCAAAAGCAGCCGACGACGAGGTCCTTGCCGGATCTAGGGGTTAGTTATATTTTTTTTTCCATACCATCTTAATATGTATTTCAAAATTTAAACTTGTTCATCATAATCACTATCCTATTAGAACCTAATTAGATAAAAGAAGATAGAAATTAAATTACCTTAGATTTTCCCTTTTTCCTTCACTGTCTCCTTCTTCTTCTTCTCCTTCTTCTCTTTTTTTTACCCGAATTTATCACATTTTCCTCCCTTAAATACTGTTGGGAGTGCGGTGAACTTTTACCGACTTGGTAAAGCGGTGGAGAAAATCTCCGCCATAAGATTTTTATTTATTTATTTATATTTTTGTTGGCTATTACAATCACATTGACAAGTTTGACGAGAAATTTTTTTAAATACGGGGTAAAAATTATTTGTAAATAAATCTTCAAATTCACCATCTTCTACTAATTTAAAAGGAAGATTTTTAAGAATAATAAACCTGATGACGCATTTCCTGACTCGGGCTGCGTTATAATTCCAACTACCAAGACTACCAGAAGATGAGAATTGTGAGAGCATAGATTATCAGATATCACCTTGAGGAGTCTGACGTTTGTTGTGTTTATCTAAATGACGTTTGAGGTGGTTGGTGCCGCTCTTATGATGAGCTTAAAAAATATGGCCACACAACGCACACTTAGCATTCTGGATGAGAAGCATACCGTGTTCATCCCTGGTGACGTCTATCTTCTCGAAAAAATTTCACACATCGGATC